TTTTATTGGTACATATAATTTATCAATCACAAATTAATGAATTTATTTGTCTCAAACAACCAAATAATCTGTGACCACAACCAAAACTTGTGACCATCACCTCACCACTGTCACCAACAGTATGATAACCGAACCCCCATCGTCGGAACCACCACCTCCTCACGCCAACAAACCATAATCTAAAAATACCGACATCACTACAACCACCACTACCCACCCACCACCACCGCACCACCACCATCAACAGTAGCACAACCACCAATGCCGCATGTACCACCACCACCACCGTCTCCTCAAATCCACCACAGCCGAGGCCACCAATTAATCGGTCACAACAACAACCATATATGAACGTCTCCGTCGCCACAGGCACACTCACCGCCTGCCACACCACTGCCAAATCCACTGCCCACTGCCAAAGAGAAGAGAGAGTGAGAAGAGAAGAGACAGTAGAGAAGAGAGGACTACCACTACCACCACCACCGCGATCGCCAGCACCACCGCCAACTACAAACATCGCCACCATTTCAAACCACCGCCAACTACCTCAAAAGCTCCGAAGATTTTCCCCCAGATAGCGTAGAGATCGTTGCAACAAAAGCACTTCCTAACCTCAACCGTATCCATCGAATTCAGCCCATAGACATCTACGCCGCTGCTGCCACCTCACACCCTAACGCACACCACCACCTCACACCACCTCGTACCACACCGCCATCAACACAGCACACCCTATATAGACGCACCACTGCCACCACCAACAAAGCTCCACAACGCAACCACACACTAGTGCCACCAACACCATTGAACCGCAACTACCACCATGGGAGCTGGAGTAAGCTTGACTGGATCGCATATTGACCGAATCCAGTTCTCTCCTTCGGCGATGGCGGTCGAGGGGAAGAAGAGAGAGAGAGAGAAAGGGCGGCTACAACGGTGAAGAGGAGAAAGATAAGGAGAAGATAGAGAGAGAAAGAAGATATGATAAATGATTAAATTTTTAGGGTTTGGGTAATTATAATTTAAAGAGAGATAAAATAATGTTTGATTTTTGTATAAATAAAATATATATCTGAAATGTAAAATTAAATCTTTAAAGTTCTGGTTTTGTGTAATTTCCACTTTTCCAAATGGTGCAAAATTTGGTGCCAAATTGGAGCACTTTTGCACCAAATTTGGTGAAATTTGGTGTTTTGGTGTTGCCATTGGAGATGGCCTAAGTCTAAAGTAGAACTTTTAAGCTTGGCCAAATATGCTTGTAGCTTTAAAAGTTCTTCTACATAATTTTCTTTCTCAAACTTGTTTGGCTTTTGTTTAGAAGTTGTTTCTTAATTGGTCATGCTTAAAAGCTGTTTAGTAAAGACGGGGGTAGGTGACCAACAAATTTTTATACAAAGATTGATACATTAAAGAAAATTATTTTTTGTTTGACCCATGTTATTGAATACAAGACAGCTCGTCCCACTTAGGAGGCTCCTGATAAGGCTTATACCTCCTAGATCAATGCTTGACATTCCCCTATAAAGCATTAAAAAAAAAAAAATTAAATATATTTTTAAACTAAAACCTAAGTGGGTTTTGGGGCAGGCCTGCGCTTAAAAAGGTATATGAAATAGGAGCCCCAATGACTTGCATGGGACCCACTATTTGTTTAGTTCAAAAGTGGTGGGTTCCGGTGCTTATAAGCTAATATAAGCACACCCAAACTCAGCTAAAAAAGCTGGTTTGCTTATTTTGTTTAGACTTGCCAAACATGCTATATGTTCTTACAAGAGAGAATAAAATCACATCTTTGGCTACCAGAATACCCTAATGTTTGATTCCCTTTACACAATGGCATGTTTGATATCCAATACAACCGACAATAAAGTAATTTAACTTGTTTTCCTTTTGAGTATTGGCTAATCGCTTTGTCAAACATACCGTCCATAATTGAACAAACATTAAATAATGAGAATTGAAACAAAAATTAAACAGGACACACCTATGAAAAGTCGAAAACAAGAGGGTAAAAAATCCAACTTGCACTACGAAAATTTAGTCAACCAACTTACCTCAAGATACCCAATCTCTCTTTCCATCATCTGAACATTGACCAACCCCCGCCGTTTTCCGTACAAATCCGGGTACTCCGGCGGTGACTTTGGACGCGGCGGTGGCAGTGGCAGTGGCAGTGGCCATGAACCATCGCCTCCCGAACCATTCATTTCTATAAACTTTCCCACCACCGTCCACCAATGAATATATATGTAAAAAAATTATAAGCACTAAATAGAATATATTCTCGGTACTTGTAATTTGTAAAGGAATCAAAAAATTTCCCAGAAAACAGAAGCATGCAGCCTGCCTATATAGAATAGGGAGATGCAGAAAGTGGAAATCATTTGGGTATGAAAATGGAAAAACGAAAAGTTACAAGAGGAAATAATTACTGGGCTACTGACTCTTGAAATAATTATGGTGTATCCACCTCAAATTTGTCGGTATTATCTACTCTACACATACATATACTACATAATATAAATGCCCGCATGATTAAATAAATGCATCATTTATTTCTCTATACTTGTTTACAGTTGCATGGATTTAATGCGATGCACTAATAAATAACCGTAAGAAAAAAATTACCATTGCCAGAATGCTAATAAAGAAAGTAGTCGTGGGTCTAAAGTCTAAAGCAAAATTAGTCTCTCTGACATAGAGACCCTGAATAGAGCGTCTCTGTGTAAAAAAGTTCGTGTTTTGCAGGAGTATGGAGTGGAGAATAGACGAAAAGATCGTACACTAGAGCACATGCCAATGCTGTGTGGAGAAAGGGAAAAATGAGAGTTTTGATTTGACAGTGCTTATATAAATCTACAATCATTGGACTGTGGTGGGGACACATTTTCTAGATATGGTCTGACTATCTCACACCAAATTCAACTTGGTTGATTGAATATGGCAAAGTAGAAAGTTGTTTCGGTTGGATACTTTCAGAAAATGTTACTCGAGAAACATGTTTGATAAAATGTCTTTTAAGGTCGGGTTTCTATACGAGGTCTAATTAATTAGATAGAGGGATGTGGTCAGATTGGGATATAGGGTGACAGCCTATACTTTTTATTTTCATGAGGAATTCAAGGGCGCCCGTCCACTTAAACTTTTGCCGATGTCAAATCAAGAAATCTATCATGCGAGCTTGCCCCTCCTTGGACGAAGCTAAAAGAGACACAAGGACAGTGACAACTTTTAAAGCTCGTAGAAAAGAAGGGTGAACCATACCCCCATTATGGCGGCAAAAGCTGTTATTTAAACAAAAGTGGATAAATCTGAAAAGACATTTCTTTTAAACCAAAGAATAATGTGTCAATACATAACATAATTAGTTACCAATTCACCAATAGACGATCTTCATCTGTCGTGTTCTAGAATGACCCAAAGCCTACAAATACTCCGTATTTCCCTCCAAAATAGTTGTTTCTCCTCTTACTCTTGTTTGAGGATTGAATTCAGAGAGTTTATGAGGGGCAAATCTTGGCTAGGTGTTGCCTGTAATTTTACGGTCAACAAATTGATGTCATCTGTAAAAAAAAAAAATTGAGCAAAGAAAACCACGAATTCGTCCATCAAAATTGAAAAATCCTTGAAATTTGAAAAAATGAGTCAAACTGGTAAATCCGGAGGACGTTAAAGTGCTTTAAGTTGGAGTAGAAGAGCACAACGACGATCCAATAAACAATGATACCAATCTGAAGCGACAACAAGAGGAAATACCGACAAGGTTGCAGGTAGTCATTTCTCACGCCCTACACCGTCGTTTACGAAAGAAAATGTTTATGACAAAAACTCTGCAGGAAATAACGGAAAGCCTCAAGGCACTTACAATAAAGAATGTATCTTAGCGTGCAAAGTTTAAAAATTCAAAGGCGAATTTGTAAGGTAAATTCGACAAAATGAAATACAGCAAATTGTCAACTTATTCATGAAAACAATAACAATCTACAAGTGTCGAAAACCTACGACAGTATTCCACAAAGAAAATGGAAGGAACGACGGATGAATAAACCTGACATGGAGAGGTTTGCGGACGAAGAGAATTCTCACAACAGGAAGTATAGCAAGCGCTACCACCATGAAGGTCGGAGAGTGGAAAGCCTAATCAAAACTTCAAATAACACTCACTTGTATGAAGAATATGAAGACCAATCAGCAAGATCATTTGAGCTGGATGATGATGATGATGATGAGCATCTCGTTTTCAAGAGAAAATAAGGAACAACCAATTTCGAATAATTTTATTTGTCATGTGATGGAAAATACAGCAGTAAGGACGATCCGATATACCACCTCTGCAAGTATATGATATAGACGAGGTCGAAAAAGGGATCCCCACATTTAAGTGTCAAGGTTTCCATCAGACATTAGATGAACATGTTGGCAATAGTACATCGAGTTGTCGTTAGGCTCAATTAGAAACTAGCCATAATTAAAGCAGGCATTATTGGGAGCATTCGTTGGAAAAAGAATGGAACAGGCACCGACCACGAGGTTGAACAATATGAGGCAAGAGGAATGAGAGTCCATTAAAAGCTACTTATCATGATTCAGTGCTAAATTGATTGCTTGTGAGACCATATTGATTGAAAAGGCTAAAGACGCCTTATGGAATGGTTTGTTAATGGAAACTCTCTTCTTGCGAGATGTTCACAACAAAAATCTAACCTCCTATCATCAATTGGTAAGCCTAATGCAAAATAAGATCCAAGTGGAAGATACCAATGAAAATAAAATAAAAATAGAGCAAGGTCGAGCTCAAGGGAAAAGCCTAGACATATGTACTAGACTACCGAAGCAACAATACATGTATTTTGACGAACCCAAAAGCAAATTGCACGCGATCTCCAGTCCCCCATAGATTGTAAGCAAAGTATATCCATCCTCGAAGATTAGAAGATAAAATTCTGCAAAATTCATTGTACCAGAGACCATAATACAGATGAGCGTTTTGAAATACTGAAAATGGAAACTCTGTGAAGCCAGTAAGGGAGAACACGTGATGCATCTAAGAGTCGAAAGCCTCTTTATTCAAGTGTTAGAGGACGAGGTCATAGAAAAAGGCCAGGACTTGTAGAGTCATTGTGAGCATTAGTGAATGCCCTACACTTCTGACATTCGTTAAGAGAAATCCATACTGTTGAGAATCAGGCCAATAATAAAGACGAGAAAATAAGAGAAATATGAAAAATAATAGATCATACAATAATACAAAATTTGATGTAGAAACCCAAATTTGGGAAAAAATCATGGACAGAGGCGAAGAATTCACTATAACCAACAGTAAGGAGTTACAAGTATGTTATGCGAATCTAATCCCACGAGACTTTCACCTTGATCTCTTTATCATACAAGCCTCTCTCTAGATCACTCTTTGAGTTGATCAAATAAATATGCATAATACACCACATATTTATAATGCAAGAATTCCTAACATACTAGGAAAATTAATACAAATAAGTGTCTAACACAATGTGAAGTCTATTACAATAGGTAAAACTAATAATGGATTATTTGGGATGAAATATGAGTCAAAAGCTGCCAAAAAATTGAATTAGGATCATAATCCGTCTTCGACTCCTCCAAAATATCTTCTAGTCTACAACCAACTCCCAATAGTCCCCCAACAGTATTTCCAATCAAATATTCAACAAGAATTTGGGTTACACCAAAATTTTAACATATACCATAATTGGGGGCCCCTACGAAGACAAATATACTATGAAAGACCAAAAAAGAATTACGCCAAAGCAGACAAAAAACCCACATTGTAAAATTTTTGGATTCTAAATAATCTTAAAATTGCATCTCTTCCAATTCTGTTTAATAACAATGATGAACATAGAATCATTTATCCCCACTGTATTGCATTGTAGTGCGAGCAATAATAGCTCACAATGTCTTTAATTGTATGCTGGTGGGGATAGTGGTAGCTCTGTAAATATTCTATTTGGAAGTGCTTTCGATCAAATGCAAGTGGATAACCTTTGGGTACCAATGGTTGAAACCCTACGTGATTTCACTAGTGATAGCTTGGTTCCAAGAGAACAAATTACTTTAACAATTGAGTTAGACAAAGAGCCAACTATATTTCAGGGATATATGGACTTCTTGATCATGGATAATAGGTCTGTGTATTATGGGATTGTAGGGAGACCTGTCCTGAAGCTATTGAAAGTTGTAACATCTATTCATCACTTGTTCATGAAATTCAAAACCCTGAAAGGAATAGCTAGTATCAAAATCAACCAAGCTGCTGGACACAAATGCTATCTCAGTGCCTTAAAGAAAATTTGCCCCAAGGGCCCCAGTAATTAACCACATTGATGGTAGAAATTAATGACACATTTGTAAATCCTTGTTTTGAAAAACAAGTATCCAATGATGTGAATGGTAAGTTGAAAAACCTACATGTCAATAAAGATAACTCGCAAGTACTAGGGAAAGCATGAATATTGAAATAGTTAAATAAATGTTGGATTTGAAACAAAGTCACAGTAGTGAGAATGATAAAATCGTCGGAAAAATGAAAGGCGAGCCTCTTTTCGCCTCAAATAAAACTTTGATGAAAGGCAAGTCTCTTTCCGTCTATAAAGAAATATTGACCAAGGGCAAAGTCAATTCCACTTAAGAAGAACGGGGAATGGATTCCACCTCCCAAATGGAAACTTCTATGGGTGAGTCCCAATCCTCCCCCATAAAAGTATGATGTCATGACAAGAAATCATTACTAATATGCATGAAATATTTGTATACCAAAAAGATATGACAGAAGTCATAATCGCTACATTTTGTTCTTTTTAGTTGCAATGGATATTGAATTAAATGTTATACATTGCGAGTAGTATTATGGAATTAATAAAATACACTTACGCGAAGCACGATTGAATGCCAAACGAATAAAGTAATGCAAGCTTAAAAAATAAAAACAAAATGAGATTCCACATATAAGAATCGATAAAACACCATTGCGACAAGGAAACGAGATAAATAAAAATGAGGGGATACATAGCAACAATCCCCACTTGAAGGAAAAAGCCGGGAATCCACAAATATAGGATGAATAAACGAAGTACTCATTGCCTCAGAGGCCAATAAAGGAATTTCGAGGAAGAGCGTATCCTTAACATCTTCCTCACGAGCCTCCAAAAAATCGATGTTCCATTCAAAA